TTATGGATAAATGTGGATCTCACAGGGTGCAGACATTTCAGTTTTTTCTACTTAGTTTGATGCTTTCACTGGAAACATCATTTCAAGAAAAAATAATTTAGTTGATTAGCAAAAGGATGTAAACAACGTCATGACAAGATTAAATGGCATGTCCTCAGGGTAGCTCTTTCTGTTTTGTTTTGTTTTGCTTTTAATTTACTCCTTATCTATTCACATTTTTAAATGAAAGATGAAAGAAAAGAAAAACTGAAAAGGTCTTTTTTTTAACTCTCAACTTTCTCACACACCCACACACATCTCAGGATATACCGCATCTAAAATCCATACTAACAATATATTTTGCAGAAGATTCTGCTACTTGTATGGACTACTAATTATAGAAGTACTACATTTGATGATTTATCACTTTTGTTTTATAATGTTCATGATTTGTATCTATTATGTGTATTTCTATTATAGTCATAGCTTTCCTGGTCTGTGCCAAGCAGGAAAGCAGGGCACTTTAGTGATACAGTAAAACACTCCGTGCCTTCAGGAACATAGAAGTGGGAGAAATATAAGGCAAAGCCACAAGTATAGGTCAAACAAATATACAATATAATATATGTTCAGGAAGAGTGAGCAACCAACCCAGCCTTAGGGGTAGGCAGTTATCACAAAAATGATAACATTTGAACTGAATCTCAACACATGAGGTAAGCAGGAGCTACTAGAATTCAGCAAGGGTCAGACAAGCTGAACATAGAAAAGAAGTGCTTGTTCAAGGGCACTGAGGTTCACCAATCAGTGAAACTGCAAGAGAATGAGTGTTATAGGAGTGAGCGTTTCTCAGACTCTGTTGTACAGAATGCCATGTCCATGTGATACATTTGTGTTATTAAAAAATGGAGTTTTTATCAAATGAGCTTTGGAAAATTGGTTGTGTTAACATTTTAGAGTTCTCCAAGCTTCTTGGAACCTATGATATGCTAATATGCATTGCCCATACTGTAGAAGAGTGAAAGATGAAGGGAAATATAAAAGAAAGTAAAATTCAATAATCCCACACTCAGAGAGAGCCACTGTTAGTGTTTTGGTATAGTTCCTCCTGGGTTTTCTTTTCCTCTAGATTTTTCCTGTAAAATCCTCCTATTCTTCCCTGAATCAGTACACAATTGCCTCCCTGTCTTAATTTGCCCATTCAGTGTAACATATTTTACTGAGTTCTTATTATGTATGAAAGAGAGTGCTGGATACTAACAATATACAGATATATTTTCTTCCTTTCAAGAAGCTCCTTGCTAACATTCACCAGCATATGTCTTTTTTATATAAAAATTTGATACTGCTGTTTATAGTGCTCAGTAACATCTTTTAGTCAATCATAGTGGTTATAGCTATTCATACTATTCACTAGAATGCTTTTCCTTAGCAGTCTCAGCATCTTTATCAATAAATGTAGATGTATTACATCATCATCTAAAAGGCTGACTCATATTTTATAATGCGACTCTACCACATTATATGGTTAATGGATCCGTCAAGCTGTTTTCAATCTTTTTTAAAAAAATATTAAAACAGTATTATGATGAGCACTCTCAATGAGTATTGATTGTAGTTTTCATAGTGACATGAACAAAATTGTATTTAAAATGATAAAACTTATAGCAGTATAGCAGGAAGCCTGGAAGAATTAGATTGGTGACAGAGACCACTTATTGTAGTGTCACAAGAAGAGAAAATGATGAATTCTACTGAGAAGTCTACCTATAGCCATGAAAAGAAGTAGGCAGATATGAGGGACATTTTTGATAGAGGAAACGATGCAGTTGATTGGAAGTGGTGAGCAAGAGGAAATGGTAAAACATAACTCTGTGGCTTTTAGTTAGCAGATGAGATGTGTTGATAACTATCAACTAAGACAAGAAATAGATAGTTCTTAGTTTGGGGATTTGAAAGACTTCGGGATAAAGAAGTAGGCTGTAATCATAGACTGAATACTTTGGAATAAAGTTAAAATTTGTATTATCAACATATGAAAGAGAAATTCATGAGAAAGAAATGAGCTCTCCTAACAGGAAAATTTATAGTAATAATTAAGAGAGTTGACTGCAGAAATCTAAAGAATGGAAAATTTGATGTGGAGAGAGAGGGGCAAGCCTATCAAAAGTATGGGAAGTTGTAAGGTCTTCATGGCCAAGAAAGTTGCAAAGAAAGGTTAACTCTGACTTCAGGATTTAAAAGTGTCATGGAAAAGATGGAAACTATATTTTAGTTGGGTGTTGCTGTTTAGCAAAAAGTGGGCTAATTTAAAGTCTATTTTTAAGACATCTAGATTAAAATGGAGTCTTACATTTACATAATTTTGATTGTGTAGGGAGGAAAGTTCACCTAAATATGTAGCATAAATAAATTTATAAAGGGAGTTTTTGAACTATGTAGCATGATAAACAAGTTATATAGCTAGTCCATAATGTAATTTGTATTAGAATAGCCTAATGTCATAAGGTCTCTGAATATTCATCTTATTCAGGAAATACAGTCATTTAGCACCACTTCTTTCCTTATTGTTTTACTATTTGTTTTTAGGGTAGAATATTAATAACCTTGAATTCATAAAGTACAGATTCTTAGTTTCAAAAATGAAAAAATTATTACTCTGTCATTAAGGTTGGCCAAGATCATGTGTTTTGTTTTTGGAAGAGATGAGCCGGGAAGATTGCAAATAGTTACACTCCACTGAGTAATCTCTTAATTATAATTTATTTTATCTCACATAGATTTATCAGAATTTGGGTATATGTTTGGATAGATGTATTTTATAAGTAGTTTTGACTTATACATATGAAGTATTCTAATATAGATAAAGGTATTTAAGATAAATATAGATCTGTAAGATATAAGATAAGGTAATTTGCAAAGGGTGTGTCATTTACCCTTTTACATCTCTACCTTGGCTCTTTTTATTGTCCCTGAGATAGTGACTAAGAGATGGACAGGGAAATTTGGTCCATTTTTTCCCTAGGAGCACAGCAGCCATGAGCAGGAGTGGGGTCCAGTGCTAACTCAAGTTATTCATTCCAGACACCAAAGTTGACTGGAGGCTGCTGCAGGGGTCATGTCTCAGCATTGGCCACCTGCTCTAAATTAGCCTCAATTTAAATTTTGATCAAATCAAAGTGTTTATCCTCTCTTATTCTCAGTGTTCTCATTTTTTGAATTTTAATATTAAATATTTGAGCCTTAGTATTAGCAAGGAAATGAAAATGTCTGACCTCTATACCTGGCGCATAGTAGGAGCACAATTAACGTTAAGTGCAGAGATAATTGCTGTTTTTCTGTGTGCTTTCTCATGGACAGCAAATACATATTACATCTTCTTCCCCATCTTGTTAGAAGATGCCGCTTAGAATTTCATCATTCTCTTGTGGTTCATTTCAAAAAGGACAAATTATTTAACTATGTCATTTAATTTTTTAATATTTACAGAAGCTAATTAATCAAATTATTGATCATGTAAGTTTTTAAAATGTATCCATTTTAAAATATAGTTTAATGTCAAATTCTAGAATGTATGTATTTACTTCAAGAAAGTGAATTAATATTTCATAATTTTTTCTAATATCTAAGACGTGTGCATTATTCAAGTGGCTTTTTTAAAAATAAGAAGTCAATGAAGGAATTAAATGGAAAAAAAAAAGACCTGAAGATACTTAAATAGGAAGATAATTAACTTTCTTATCACTTTGGACTCAAATTTATTTTCCTCTATGTGTAATAAGAGTGATAATATTTTCAGTGTTAAGCCGACAAATAATTTAAAAATTATGTTTGCTTTTGTTCCCGGAACAAAACTGGAACACAGTAAAGCTAGAAGGAAGAATAAAACCTTTCCCTTTTTATCCGTATCTGCAGTAATACCTCCAAAGGAAGGTATAATATTTATCAGAAAGATAATAAGGAATAAGGATACCCTATATTTCTGGGTATCCTTATTCTAGCATTCTAAGTTAGCAATTTTTGATAGACATTTTAATTGCCTAAATACAATGGATTTCATATAGATTTGTATGAGAAATAAAAGTCTTCAGTGGAACCGGTGATATTGTAAAACAACACATTGGATAGTATTTGCCTCTTACTGATTCATACTTTTCCCTAAACCCTAACATAAATATACTCCAGCACAGTATTTCTCCAGTAAAATGATTGTCTCATAAATATCTTCGGTAAACAGAAATTAGCTTTGCTTGAAAAAATTACAATTATTTTATGGGTGAAATAGGTTTTTGAAATTTCACTGAAAATTAATTCCACAGAAATAAGGGCAAATTATGAAAAACTAATTAAAAATATCTCAAAATGTCTTAAAAGGAAATTATCTGATATTAAAATGTTAAAAACTATTAAAACTACAAAAAAGAAGAATATAGTGGATTGTCCGACTGTGGCATTGCCAGTCTGTTGTTGCATTCCATTTCCATCAGGGAGGAAACAAACCATAAACTTTAGCAATTTGGCAACGGTCTCTACACCAGAGTCAAAACTTGTGATATTCTATCAGAGGTTCACATTTTCCTTTTCCTATTACTTGCGTTCACTGTGCCTGCTCAGTCCCTTATCCCTTTCTTAGGGATAGGAAACAAGACTGAAAAGCTGAATCCTACCCTCAGCCAGCAGGACCACTCTTCTGTGAAATGCAGATGTTAAAAACCCAGCTAATGGTTGATAATGACAAGTCATTTAGTAGATCGTTCTTATGTTGACTGTTCATGTTCCAATTTAATGGTTTATTTTGCTATTGTTTAAAGACCTCATTTGTGAGAGTTGTAGGAAAACAATTCAGAATTCTTTTAAGTGAGACTATATGCCACTTACTCCCAAGGTCTCTTATTATTTTTGTCATCTGAATTGTCACCCTTCTTCAACCAGCAGAAATTGTTTCCTTATGATTTTCTGTGTTTGGATATGCTTTACCAGTTTATACTAACCTTGAAAAATTTTCTTTTTCCCATTTCAAGTTCCACCCAATCTGACTGTTCCACAGGAAAAATCACCTCTGGTCACCAGAGAAGGGGACACAATAGAACTGCAGTGTCAAGTAACTGGAAAACCTAAACCCATCATCCTCTGGTCTAGAGCGGATAAGGAAGTTGCCATGCCTGATGGGTCAATGCAGATGGAGAGTTACGATGGAACGCTGAGGATTGTGAATGTCTCTAGAGAGATGTCAGGAATGTACAGATGCCAGACCAGCCAGTACAATGGATTTAACGTGAAACCAAGAGAAGCCTTGGTGCAGCTCATCGTGCAATGTAAGTTTTTAGTTTTTTTTTTTTTTTTTTTTTTTTTTGGTCTGTTTCTACTGAGGACAAAAGGGAAAAAAAAGGATGTGATTATTCAGCTAGAAGAAATGAGCTGAATTTTGGTATTGGATTAGGATAAAATATTTCCATATTGTCACTACCCAATTTAAACTATAGTTTTCCTCTAAATCTGCCTGTTGGTTGAGTTCATAGTAATAGAAGAGTATCAGTGTACGTGTGATGATTAAGATGGTGTTGTGTGGTTGGTTAATGTTAAAACGTTAACAAATCTAATGGTGAAAAACCGGCTTTGTGCAATGAAGCAAAGTGGAAGTTGCAAGTAATTGCTAGTTCATATTATAATACTCTGTTGTCTTCACAGTTCTTTCTACTTCAGGCTATTGCCTGCCCTTTGCCCAAGTTATCCACCTACTCTAAAGCACCCCTCTGCTTAAATTGTGGAAACCTCATCATTAAACTGCTATGTTTGCATTTCTGAAGCTGTAAGAGTAGATTACACAATTTTCTAGTCATGTTGAGATAATTCACATATTAGGTACGGAATTTTTGCTTGATTTTCATAACATAATTGTTACTGTGAGAGTTAAATATGATAGATATTTAACTATTTTCATTGAAATTACTGTTACAGTTCTAACTGTAGTTATTGTGTGCTTTGAATTTGCTTTTAGTATTAAAAGTACCTAAGTTCATAAAGGTAAGAAAAAGTTTAATGATGTCCCTGACGTTGGGATATTAGAGGACGCCCTGGTAATTTGGATGGCAGAAGGTACAAATAGAGTCAAAAGAGAAGAAGCAAACTAAACAGAATCTTTTCAAACTCCAGTAGTGCTGGTTTAAATTTTAATTGTTAAATACCTGGTGGCAAAGTCTTTAAGAATATGAATGAATTAGATGAAACTATACACTTCAGTAAGAAATGATGTTGTTTTCTATCTATGGCTCTGTAAGTCAGAAAATGGAAAATAGAATTTAGATACAAAACAGGTGAACATACGGGAAGAGAAACAAAAATAATATAAAAACAGGGAGGGGGACAAAACATAAGAGACTCTTAAATGTAGAGAACAAACAGAGTTGCTGGAGGGGGTTGTGGGAGGGGGATGGGCTAAATGGTTAAGGGGCTTAAGGAATCTACTCATGAAATCATTGTTGTACCATGTGCTAACTAACTTGGATGTAAATTATAAAAAGTAAATTATAGAAAATAAAAAAAAAAAAAAAAAGAATCTAGTCCAAAAATGTCTCTTTTTATATTAGAGTTAAAGATGTTAGCAGATTGGATTAACTGACTTTAAATTTGAAAGAATAGTTGAGATATGGTAGGATTATGTTTGGGACTGATAAATTCATTTATGTCTGAGGGATATGAGTTAGGTCTGGAGGAGCAAAATTCTGGGTGCTGTTTACCCATTCCCTGTCCATTCTGTAGAAACTCAGGTTCTAGTATGTTGTTTGTCCTATAAATATGCAAACTGATACTTGTCAAATACCTTGGTTGATTTCCAGTTGATTACTACTGTGTGTGTGTGTGTGTGTGTGTGTTCTTTTCCCCCAAATAATGATGAATTTAGATAGCAAGGTTTATTCAGCAGTTTAATATTGCTTTTTCCTCACTGGTCTTTGTACTTACGGCAAGCTCATGGGTAGGAGGTTCATGTGAAAATAGTTTCCAGAAAGAAAAAGAGAAAAGAATAATAAAAAAAAGAGAAACCTCTCCTTTATTCTCCTCTATTCGAAGGAAGGAAGGAAGGAAGGAAGGAAGGAAGGAAGGAAGGAAGGAAGGAAGGAAGGAAGGAAGGAGAGAGAGAAAGAAAGGAGAGAGAGAGAGAGAGAGAGAAAGAAAGAAAGAAAGAAAGAAAGAAAGAAAGAAAGAAAGAAAGAAAGAAAGAAAGAAAGAAAGAAAAGAAAGAAAGAAAGAAAGAAAGAAAAAAGAGAGAGAGAGAGAAGGAAGGAAGGAAGGAAGGCAGGCAGGAAAGAGAAGGAAGGAAAGAAGGAAAGAAAGAAAAAGATACTTTTAAGTGACCATAGAGGAGGAAACTGCAGTTTGGAATACTTCATTTTTGTAGGTAATCACAGAATTCTGTGCTTCCTCTAGAGTTGGGCATAAAGCTTCAGTGTTCGTAAAGCTACTGGGGCAACTAATGTCACTTTGCTCACACCTCTCTGGGGAAGCTGTGATACAAATAAAAGCCAGGGGACCCTCTGATTCTAAGGAATTTTGAATTAAAGTTTCAAGGACCAGGATCTCCAATCTCCATAGAATATACTAACCTTCAGAATTCTATTGGCAAACTTGTTTTTCTTTTCTTTGCTTCTTAAAAAAGTCCCATAGGAAACATTAAGTTCAGCACAAGGTTTGAAAATTCAATCTTGTAATAGTGGATGAAAATAAATACTGGCATGGTTGTCTCTAGTGTCACAGGATGTAATTGACTAAAAGACATCAATAGACGTAGGCACAGTCTAGTTTATTTAATGTAAATAAAAAGATCCACATCCCAAAGTGACTTCACAGAGCAGGGGATAGCATCTAACAGCACTTCCTCTCAGAGGCAGGTGTCCCTGGCCTCCTGGAAAAGCAGCTGGATCCCAGAAGTCTTGCCAGTTTCAGGTGAGGATGCCATCGTATCTTTCAAGTAGCTCCCTGTCATGTATTCCCACTTTTTGTGAAGAATCTGATTCTGTGTCGAAGCATTTGCCAAGTACAAATAACTGGTAACAACTCCAAATGATTCCTGAGTAAATCAAATGTTGATCTTCCATCCACATAATACCTGCTAGCAAGTCCAACCTGTATGCCTACCTAAGGCTTATTCCTGCAAAACTAATGACAAAAGAATTCTGATACTTTTTAAATGATAAACATTCTAGCTTTTATGGTGTTTCTTAAGAACATGAAAATAATATGGTGTTTGTGCTACACTTGCAATCATGCTACTTGTAAGAAATATCCATGTGAATATGAAATACCAAGTTATTTCATATACATGTGCACACACATATACATACATATATGTGCATGTGTTTATATTCTCTTCAGTAGTTATATCACTGAAGCAAACAAGCTTTTCTTTATATATGTTGTATGTTCTCAGCATAATGTATTTTGCACTATAGCTATTCGTTAAATATGTGTGGTAAATGTAAGTTATGGTAACAAGTGGAATAATATATATATGTGTATATATATAACAAATATGATTATATATTATATATAACAAATATATAATAGTATTATATAATTATATAACATTTGGAATTATGTATATATATATATATTTTTTTTTTTTTTTGCATACTCCTTGATTCCTACATGACTGGTTTTTATTATTTAGGTTTCAGGAGTATGTAAAACTTGTTGCATACAGTTTGAGACCTGAAAGTGTTCAAGTATATGAAGAAGATATCAAATTAGTCTAACATTAATAAAACACCTCTTTTAGAACTGCTTTTCACTAAAGTCCTAGCTGAGTCTCCCCTCTTTAGAAAGCCTCTTGGTACTGGAGAAGGGCCCTCCTTAGGAGTCTTATGGGCATGTGTTTTGTCTGCACAAGACAATTTAGAACTTCAAACTAAGATATTGTTTTGAACATTAGATAATATACTTCTTTCAAAATTAGTGGTTATTATATCATCATTTCCTTCCTCAAAACTCACTTGACAATTTGGCAGATTGTTGATTACTGAACCATTTCTAGAGCCTCAACACTAGGGAAAAATTTATCGCTTTTTAAAACTTTGCTTGGTAAGAAATGATTACTTTCAACTTCTTACTAGGAAACTTTGTAGACACCACAAGAATGCAGGTGAGAAAAGCTTTTAAGTTTACTAAGGATATAATATTTTAAGCATCCATTTTTCATATTTTAGGATTAAGAATTATTGCATAGAATTTAGCACTTATTATACAGTTCTTTTATTTGAATTAAATGGCTATATTTTTGTTGTTTGTAGCAGCTATTAGAAACATTAATCAACTGAACCCTAAGGTAATGTTAATATTATAAAAACATTAATATTTATGCTGTTTTCTCTGATCCTACCTTTCCTGTCCCCCAGATAGTTAAGATCTTCTCTTTGAAAAGAAAAAGCAATATTCTTATAAGATGGTATACAATTTAAACTGTACAAAATAAAACTCGAATTTCTACTTCAAGTCACTATGTCATCTAAATATATCTTACTTCATTTCCCAGTGGATTTAATGAGGAATTATAATGGAGCTGCCTTGCAAACAGATGTGTTTAAACATTTTATTCTTATATTACTCCTGAATATTTGAAAGTTTCACTTCCCAAGTGGATATGTTATTCTGCAGAACATCTTTAGGATGAAATTATGTTATCTGCACTGCCCCTGCTATCCCAGGCAATCAATTGCTGTTACTTGTTTTCTCCCTCTTCCAGAGAGGGTAGCAGGGTAGATGACTATCTAAGGGAGAGAGAGCGAGCGCACAAGCAGGGGAGGAGCATGACAGAGGATCTGAAGCAGGCTCTGTTCTTACAGCAGAAAGCCTGATGCGGGGCTCAAACCCATGTGCCATGAGATCATGACCTGAACTGAAGTAGGATTCCCAAATGACTGAGCCACACAGATCCCCGGAACTCTCTTTCAAAAGAGCTTGTCAGTGGAGAACACAGATTGTTCTTTATTGAACAGTCAAGTACAGATTATCTGGGAAGAGGATAGGTTTATTTAGTACCCAGATCGTATAAAGAAACTATGTGTGTCATTTGTTTCCTTGTTGCTATCTTAATGTAGATACAAGCATAGTTTAATATTCAGAAAGCCTTATCCATTAAAAGTTTTGTTTTCAGTGTCTGTATAAAGCAGTGGAATCAGCGCAACCAGCCACTTTCAGCAGAATGATTAAAAGTAGTCCAACTTAACCAGTCAGTCTTATGTTTCCTGATATTGTCAAGTTAAGTACTTAGGCCCACCCCTGTCGTGCATTAAAAAAATTTTAAGTGCAAATTACAGCATAT